CCCCCCCCCCCCCCCCCCCACTGTGTTACTTCTTAAAACACCTTTCCTCTTACTCCTGCTTCTAGATGTGGCCAAGGGCCAAATTGAGCTACTGGGTTGAAGTACCTAATGTTTTTTTTTTTGGGTATTAATTCAACAATATATTTCTGGTTTAATTTCAAGATATTAATTAATAATAAGAAGATGATGATTTGAGTATGATCTCATTAGAATGTATGTACGTATGTATGTTTTGAGTGTAAAAAGTAGTCCTTTTATTCCATAGCTTTTAGTACAACACTTTATATTCCACTTCATATCACTTTATTTGGTGTTACTTATTTGGTATTCTGAGAAGAAAGGGAGGATTTTGATTAGTGGGTATCGATGAAAGTGGAGTTTATATTATAAAGTTAATTTATGAAGAATATGGGCATCAAAATGCTCTAAATTAATTCCACATCAAATCTATATCTAACTCTATCTTCATATCAGAAGCTTAATGGCAAAGAAACTTGTTGTTGTTTCCAAACCATCCAAATTCAAAATTCTATTCCATTTATTCAAACATATATTCTTCCTTTTCTTACCTTTTTTCTTTTCTCCTTCATAAATTCTTTTTTTTTTTTTTTTTTATCAAAATACTCCATCTTTCCAGACTAATTGTTTAAGCAAGATGGAATTTAAAATTAAAATATATTTTTACGAGGAATACTATGCGACTTTCTCAACAAGAATTCAAAATAAAATATTTTTACTTACTTTCGTATTGACATTGGACCACTGAGAAAAGAAGTTCAACTATAATTTTATGTCTTGAGAATCCAGATTGTATTCTCTTGTTTTAGGTCAGGGAATAAAAGATTTAAAATAATCTTTTTGTAAAGAAAAGGAAAAAATAATTAAGGTGGGTGAAATTGTAATAAATGTAAAAAATTAAAGGTGACATTCTTTTTGGTGGGAGTTGTTCCATATTTATATTTATATATATTCTTTTAAATAAAGCCTAAAAGGTAGGGAAAATCTCTCTATATATAACAGCATAACTCGCCATTTTTAAATAATCATAATAATCTAAATCTAAACTTGTTAGGCGAAATTAAAACTATAATAAAGATGGAGAGACGCTCATTAATTTCACTCAAATTAATTACAATTATTAATTCGTGTTTCATTACAAAACAATGATGAAATATATTCGTCACTCCAAAGTAAAAAAAATAAATAAATAAATAAAAAGTTGGGTCGAACCCGAATCCACCGACACTCTTATCCAAATGGAATATCATCCTATTATTTAATTTTTCATATTTATATTCATATATCTCCAATAGTTTTGCAAACAATTATTATTTTTCCCACTAATAAATATAAAAATTAGCAGAGAGAGAGAGAGAGAAAATATAAGTACTCTTTATTTTAATACAATCACTAAAAAGGCTATTGAATAAAACAAATTGAAACGAAAAGAACAACATTAGAAAATAATTTATAAATTTATATAATATTTTCAAAGACGTTATTAATATAAAAAAAAAATCATATTTGAATTGATATTGATTATGGATTATTAGAGTTATAAAAACATAACGCGCTTTGATGCCATAAATATACATATTTTTTGAATTTTATGAATGTTGAATAATGGTGGGAGGTAGGACCTATGTCTTTGTAGATTTGTGGAAAAACATGGCACATGCGAGCGTTATTAAAGATGGCACACCAATATATATTTTTTCCTTTTTTTTAATAAAACATTGAAATATAATTGGTTGATGATGTTTTGTTAGTTTACTCGTTACATAATTTCAAGCATTGGATTGAAAGTATATACTTAAAATGGTTGATTATTAAATAATGATGATAATAAAGCTTAATGATTGTATTAAGTGAAGTAGAAAAGTAAGTGTTTGGTAAGCAAGACATAGGGTTGAATTAAATTTAATGTGAACTAAAATTGAGAAAAATAAATTGAAAGCGCAAACCTAACATATTTAATTAATTGAAATGATGAGAGATAAAAGGAAGTCAAGCATAAGAAAAAGGAATTGAGGTTAAAGGAAAATTAAGTTAGATATTAATGGAGGCATGTGGTTGGTTCCTTGTGTTGGGGGACAAATAACCAAACCCACCAATCTCATCCCCATACATTTTTCTCCGACCATATGTTTTTTCAATGCCTTTTTCTTCTTCTATTATTAATAAAATTAAAATTAATTTTAGGAAAACCAAAATGAGGGGGGGGGGGAGCATGTGGCAAATGGGCGTGATTAAATGGACTGCCCTAAAGGGACTGCCCTAAAGGGACTGCCCTAAAGGGACTGCCAAGGGCTGCTCATCCACACAAGCCTTCTATACAGTGTGTGGTAAGCACCGCAGGACAGTGTTCCCCCCAACAAACAAAAAATGAATTACATTGGAAATGGGCCTGGCCCTTTAGTTAGCTCGATGAGAAGAAGGTCCAGAAAAAGGGTCACACAATCCAACTATGATTCTTTTTATATAAAATAAAACTTTAATGCTTTTTTTATTTGTCGTCTTCTATATGAAATTATTTGTGCGACATGGGTAATCAATTAAAGCATTAGTTACGCACAAATAATTGCACCCCGCTGTGATCTAAAGGTCTCAATTAATCCGGAGGGAAAAAGCATAGCATAAAATAATAATAATAATGAATATTTCCTCCTTATCAACAAGCATGTTGCATTTTGTCCTAACATTCCTCAAAAGAACAAACATACAAATAAATAAATAAATAAATAAATAAAACCTTATTCTCACGCGACCAAAAGAAATAATAAAATTATAAAATTGAGATTTGATTAAAAAAAATTAATTTTACTAAACCCCATCTAATCTCCAAAGTAATAAAATTAGTAGGGTTTTAGAAGCAAGAAGGGGTAATTAATGTTGAGTGCATGAAAAGATTTGAATATGGCCCCCATCTTCGTGTTTATCATTATAATCATTTCCTACTCCTTTGTAAATTTATAGCTTAAGCTAATTTTGATGAATAAAAAAATAATTATTTTGTCCTTTCATACTTTATAAACTCTGGATTTTGACAGTTAAATCAATGAAATAACTCGTGAAAATATAAGATGCATAAAATCATTGTCTCCTTCTATATCTTATATTAGCCGTTCAAATTATGTATGGGATATGAGATTATTTGACTGCTTCCTCATATCACTTTAATAATACTTTAATAATGAAAGATATTCCAAATTTGTATTCATCAAACCAAATAAATTAATATTTTCAAACCATCCAATAACTACAAAATTATTTTTTCAATTTGATATTCATTTACTTTTTTACTTAGGATTCAGTCCCGTATTCTATTTTTGTGTTAACGGGTTGAGCTCAACTCTTTTATTTTTAAAAAAATTCAACTCAATTTAAATCGGAAATAAAAACCTAACTCAATTGAATTATTTGCATTTTGAAGTTATACCAATGAATTAGGGTTTATGAGGGGAAACTATTTTGTGGGTCTTCTTTTCTCTAAAAGCCCTAATCCTGTCTTGGATTTTATGTATCTATTTCATTTCATTTTAACTTTTGAGTAATGTCATTTGGAATTGTTTGATTGGACCCTTCGATTTGGCTATTTATGCACCACCTTTTATAATAATAATATTATTATTATTATTTCATTTACAATTAATTTAGATTTTAAAATGATTTAAACTAGGTTTTTTCCGACCATTTTAAAATTACTCTAAATCATATTTTTAACAATTCCAAACCAAATTTGATGATATAATTTTTTTTTATACTAAATTTGAAAATACTAAATTTTTTTTAATCATTTTAAAATCACTCTCAAACACATAATTTAACACCAAAATATTATATTACTTTTTTAATATAAATAATCTAGAATATAGGGGAAAAAATATAATATAATATATATATATTGTGTAGCTTTCAATGAAAGTAAGACACATGCACATAATCACAAACTTAAAAAATAAAAAATCAACGGTGGCTTCTCCTTGTGTCCAAGATTCAAAGTCCCATCCCACAGTGAATTGTAGTGGAATAAGTAATAGTATTCATTTTAATCTTTATTTAATTCAAAAGGTCTTATCATTGTAATTAACTGTAACGCCCGCTCATCGCCAACGCGATGAACAGGAGTTACTATCGACAATATTAAGAGACTCTGATACCCACTCATAAAATTGAAAATATTTCTGAAAAACATCCAGTAAAGTATTTCTATAAAAGAAAAGCAGTACTTTACAAAAACTTAAAACGACTAAGATGAATTCTTGACAACGGAAACATAATTACAGAACAGACCCAGACATGGATTCCCAGTAGTCTCTAGCCCGCTGGTCTCGTCCTCGGCTGACCTGCAGCATCTACATCTGGAAAGAAAAGTTATAATAATTCTGATGAGTAATTAGATTACTCAGTAAGTAGCTAATTTATCATTCACAGGTTCATAACTAATCTTTCCAGGTATTTTTACGTTTTATTCATCACTGACTCCTAGTTCTCTTACTAGGGTCATCTGTTCGTTAATGAGGTATCTCAGCTACCTCCAGCTAGGTTACTGACTCTCCCTCGATATGCTTATCTAGAATTTTCGGACTCGTATGTAAGACTCGCTCTCGGTCAAATACGGCCCGTCTACTAATTGCTCTGGCGGCCTGTTTATCTCATATACCAACGGTCAGGAGTACTCATGCTCCCTGACTTAGCACACAGCGCGTTGGCCAGGAACTCCGCGGGAATTAGTAGACTATCATACTCAGTAAATAAGCCATAGCTCAACCACCAATAAGCATATCTAGAATCATAACCTTTCCATTAACATGCATAACAGACTCACAATTACTGCATGCTTCCATACATATATCATGATCAACACGTAGAACATTCTGAAAATCATTTATATCACGCTTACATCACAG